ATGGGAGCCTCTCGTTTGGTTCTAGAATGTACATGTGTAAGGTTTAATGTGTTGTGACTACCATCTGGAATAATGTGGATAGGCATTATAACTTTGGTTAGGGCACACTCCCCCCACCATTGCCCAGCTAGTTGGGACCTCAATTGTTTGTCACCACATAACCAATAGATATCACCGATTGTCTTTGTGTGATTCATTAACAGTGATACAGGTGGACCATGGTAAGTTGAGCAGTATCCTGATGGGAATTTGCCCAGATATACACCAGTGTTCTTAGGTATTGAATAGCATGTGTAATTACCTGGATAGACCGTGACTCCATCAGGCGGCTTGACATGTCCATGAGTGATTGGGTAAACTCTCTTCCATGATTCACATGTTGAGGAATTTGTGGTGGACTGTGCATAGAGGCTTAAGACACATAGTTCTATTTCAGGAGGTAAACTTAGGGGTACTGTGCCCAGATGGGGCCTGGCTCCTCCACATACATAGCAGTTAGTCTTATTATGTGAGTTGGCATTATACCTCATCCATTCTAGCCACAAATTAGTGTCTGAAAACCCAGTCTCCACTGCCATAGTGTCTTCAAAGGTGGGGTTGGCTATAGCTACCATGTCATGTAGGGTCTTAATATGTGGTTTTAACGGGTTAATGATCATGTGTGTGGTCCCTACCCAATCTGGTGAGGTGAGCATGTCTTATAGGTAAAATGTCCCCAGTGTGTTATGTGAGCCACCTCCCTTCCAGTACATTCCCATTACATATTCCCCTGCATCCTTTGGGCTGGGGTGCTCTATGTTCAAGGTAAGTTTAATGGGAGTTGACCCTATGGGCTTACTCAGGGTCATTCTAGAAAGTAGGGGTTTCCCGTCTTTGTCAAGTCTGTCCAGTGCAATCTGGGGTCTGTAGCCCCATGGTCTACCAGTGTTCCACCCGGCAGCTTTCCATGAACTACAATGGTGCCCCCAAACTCCTCCAGTCACACAAATGTATGGATCCTTCTTGTTAGGTATGTCTTTGTATATGGCTGCATATTGTGTTTGTGGAAATGTGCAAGCAACTATGTCACAGTAATCAAAAGTGTACGTAGCTACATCTGTGTTAGAAGAATTGTACCAGAAAGTGTAAACATGATTATCTTTGGTTATGGCCACTTGTTGGGCCCAGGCAAAGTGTAGCAGCATAAGAAAACACAAGACACATAATAAATTCATATTTCAGCAGGATTAGCCTCTTCTGGAGCAGGCACTTTTTTGCAATGTGAGGTGTGTATCCAAGAACTCTTCCCGGCTAGTTTAACTGACGTTGCTGTAATCAGGAGCACTGGATAAGGACCATCAAATCTTGGTTCTAGGGTGTGTTTCCTGAGAAACTTCTTGACCATAACCCAATCACCAGGAAGCAGCTTGTGTGTACCTGTATTCGACTCAGGATCTGGAATAGAAGAAAACACTTGGGCATGTATTTTGGTCAAGGCATGTGAGAGGGCAGTCACATAGTCTACCATAGCATCTGACTGAATCTGAAGCTGTTGGGGAAAGTAACAACCTAACCTGGGTGCTGTACCAAACAAAATCTCATAAGGTGATAGGCTATACTTTCCCCTAGGAGTGTACCTTACACTAAATAACGCTAGTGGGAGACTCTCGGGCCAGGGCATGTTAGTTTCTTGTGACATTTTAAGCATTCTGGCTTTCAAAGTGCCATTCATGCGCTCTACCTTACCACTACTCTGTGGGTGATATGGTGTGTGGAATGCAAGGGTCACCCCCAGTGCTGACCAGACTTCCCGCGTTAACGAGGCAGTAAAGGAGGTCCCTTGGTCGCTTTCAATCACTTCTGGAACTCCATATCGGCAAAAATTTCTGTCAATAGGTACTTGGCTGTAGTCCTCGCGGTGAGATTAGTCACTGGGAAGGCCTCTGGCCATCCTGAAAACATGTCCACTATGACCAGTGCATATTCATAACGTCCACTCTTTGGCATTTGTATATGGTCAATCTGGATCCTCTGAAAGGGGTATTGTGGCTTGGCTAGGTGATTAGGCGCAGTCTTTATAATCTTTCCAGGATTGCATTTAGCACATATAGTACATGATTTACAGTAATTCTATGTTAAGGTAGTGATACCTGGTGCTTCAAAATACTTGTCAATCAGTGAGTTCATCAGATGTTTCGACAGGTGGGCTGGCCCATGGGCCCATTGGACCACCGCTGAGTACATACTTCTGGGTAAGCAAAACTTGAGATTGATGGTGTAAACATCATCACGGAGTACAGCTCCTTTGTTCTTCCAACTTTGTTTCTCCTGGGGAGTAGCAGCAGCTTGTTGTTCCTTCAGAAGCCTAAGATCTGTAGGCAATGTTTGCATAGTGTAGATGGGTATTGTATCGGTGGCCACTCTTCTGTCCACTTCCCATCCTTGCCGTGCTGCTTCCTTAGCTGCCTGATCAGCTAGGTGGTTGCCCCGTGCTTCTTCTGTGTCTAGTCTTCCGTGGGCTTTTACTTTTAGTACTGCCACCTCTGCTGGAAGTTCTAAAGCATCCATCAGTTCTGCAATGGCTGCCCCATGTTTTACTGGGGTACCGGTAGCCGTAAGAAATCCTCTGGTTTTCCAAATTAGACCAAAGTCATGTGCTACTCCCAGGGCATATCTTGAGTCTGTATAGATATTGACACGTAGACCTTCAGACAATTTGCAGGCCACAGTCAGGGCTGTTAGCTCGGCTTCTTGAGCAGACTTAGTTGGTTGTAGGGCAGCTGCTTGTAACACTTGACATCCTGTGGTGACTGCATACCCAGTGTGATATTGTCCCTGTTCATCAGCAAATCTTGACCCATCCACAAATAGTGTTTGGTCCGGGTTGAGTAATGCAGCTTCATAGACAGTTGGTAGGTGTGTAGTTTCCATTTTCATTTGTTCAAAACAATCATGAGGAATATCTAGGTCACAGTCTATGATGAGTGGGTCTTCTTGGGCTTCTGTGTGGTACCTTGGGTACCCTGCTGTACAGTAATTAATAGTCTTTTTGTTGATCCCCATAGAAGTCAGTTGTTCTTGGTTCATTTGACTCCAGGTCTTGGCCATCGGGCCTAGGTTTTTCCATGAGGTGTCAGGGGATCTGGTGAGAGATATGTGTGGGATAGCCGTTTCCCAATGATGATAGAGATGTGTCACATTCTCTGGAAGATGGACTAAGATGAGCATGGTACCTGTGGGGTCCCAGAATAAGTCAGTCAGGGTAATTTGAATTTCCTTGAGCTGGAATAATTCTTCCTCATAGTTCATATCAGGGCCTGGTATGTCCTTAAACCATAAGGTGCAGTGGAGTAGGGCCTCTGATTGTTCATCATGTGGGGGTGTAAGTGCTGGCAGCTGCAAATCTGCTCGAACCTCTGGGTTGATGTCCAGGCTGTACCAGTAATGCACAACTCCTCCCTTGGGAAGTGGCAGAATAGTGGCTGGGTTTAGGGAAAGACAATGCTGAAGTTTCACATTGTCAGGTAAAAGTAGGGATGTTTGTAGACGGAGGTGACGTTGAGAAGAAAGGTGCTTAGGTTGAACTTGTTGCAGGATTGCAGTAATGTCATGAGGGGCCAACACCGTGAGGTGGTGGCCAAGAACAAAATCATTAGTCTTGTCCAGGAGGGCGCTGGCGGCAAACACCGCTCTGAGGCAGGAAGGACTACCCCTTGCAACAGGGTCAAGCATGCAAGAAAAATAGCCAATAGGCCGCTGTCTTGAGCCATGTTTCTGGGTAAGGACTCCGGAAGCATGTCCTGACTTTTCAGAGACAAACAGATTGAAAGGAAGCTGGTAGTTTGGGAGGCCCAAGGCAGGTGCAGAAGCAATAGCTCTTTTTAGATTGTGGAAACAGGTGATAGTTTCTTCAGTGAGATGAAATGGCTCACTCCTGAGGGCATCATAGAGTGGTTGCATGAGCTTTGATGTTTCGGGTATCCAGGACCTGCAGTATGTGATAAGACCCAAAAAGGCATGAAGAGTCTGATGTGTTGCAGGTAAAGGGAGTTGCAAAATAGCTTGTACACGTTGAGAAGTTAGATGTCTGGTGCCATGGGAAAGACAATGTCCCAAGAAGACCACAGAGGGCCGGCACCATTGTAGCTTGGATTTGGAAGCTTTGCAACCGGCTGCGGAGAGGAAACATAGGAGATCTTCTGAGTCACGTTCGGCAATGAGCGAATCAGGAGCGCAGAGAAGGAGATCATCAACATATTGGAGCAGGACAACATCTGACTGAGATTTTTGCCAGGGCTCCAGAACCAGAGACATGGCATGAGCAAACTGTGTGGGAGAATTCTGGGCCCCCTGAGGCATGACAGTCCAGGTGTATTGTTGTCCTTCGTGGGTGAAGGCGAAGAGAAAACGTCAGGAAGGGTCAAGGGGCACACTGAAAAAGGCATTGGCTAGATCTACTACAGTGAAAATTGTGGCAGTCGGTGGAACCTGGGACAAGAGAGTGTGTGGGTTTGGAACAATAGCAGTGTAATTTACAGTTACTTCATTAACAGCACGGAGATCCTGCACCATTCGGTACTGGTCGGGTTGGCCTTTAACAGTTCTCTTTTTAACAGGGAAAAGTGGTGTGTTACATGGAGATGTGCACTTGATGAGGGCGCCTTTGGCAAGTAAGCTTTCAACTTGTTTGGTGATAGCTTCAGCTTGTGCCTGCTTCAGAGGATACTGTGGCCTACGGGGAGGCAGTGCTCCAGGCAGGAGCTTGACCAAGACTGGGGGCACATGCAAACGTCCGATATCATCCGGGCCGGTGGACCAAAGTTCTTGGGGGATACGATCCAGAGCACTGGGGGTTTGTGAGACCCATGTATTCCCTGTATTGTCAGTTAGGTTCAACAAGATGGGGAGGGAACAGAGGACAGAGGTGTCTTTTTGTGATAAGGGAGTTGTTAACTCGACCTGACCATCAGCAGTAAAAGTAATGGATGCCTGGAGCCGAGAGAGAACATCAGCACCTAGGAGGTTAATGGGGCAAGTAGAGGAAACAACAAACCGGGAGAGAATGTGTGAACCTACATGCAGAAGTTTAGTGAGGGGGTTACTGCGGGGTGTACCATCCACCCCAACACAGGAGACATCGGTATCAGATAAGAAGGAAGGATCTGGCAGGTCTTGTTCCCTGAGAACACTACGGGCTGCACCTGTGTCGACTAGAAAGGTAGTTGGATGGCCCTCCACGGGGAGAACTACAGTAGCCAAGGGCCCTCCCCCATCCCCCGCAGACACTGCCATGGCAGGGGTTGCTGACACAGGCTTGCCAGTTACCTATTGTAATAAATCTAAATGGGCCTGATCTGGTCCCTGGTACCAGTGAGAAGTGGAGGGAGGGTGACTAGATTGCATGGAAGGACGGGATGGACGATTAATGTGGCGGGGCAGTGACTGACTCTCTTGGAAATCATCTGTGTCAAACCCTTCAGCGGGAGCCGAAGTGAATGCACGGGCGTCTGATGTAGGGAGCCGGGCTTGGGTGTATTCAGGAGGAGGAGGAGGAGGAGGAGGAGGGGGAAGCTGAGGCAACTGTGGATGGGGCAGGGCAGGGAGATAACCAGTGGAGGGGAAACTAAAGCCGGTGACATGGGGACTTGGGTACCGGGGAGTCTGTGGGTGGATTACTCTAGGGTGTGGGCAATCTCTTTTGAAATGGCCGGGCTGATTACAGTTAAAACAGGTCCGGATTGTCGTGAGAGTCCGGTCCCGGGGAGAAGGGATAGATGCAGGCAATGTCTGGGGTAACTGAGTGTATTGTTGGGGGAGTATCTGAGGAACTTGGTTAGGACTGACAATTGGTGCAGAAGTAGTATACATCAGAGGGCTAGTTCTTCGCTGTGTGGGTTGCAGAACAGATTCTAAACCCTTGGCTACCAGCAAAAGTGTGTCCAGTGGAATAATTCTGTACTCTGGGCGAGCTAAAATCAACCCCTTACGAATGTGTTCCCTAACGCCTGCCACAAAGGCTGCAGATAACATCTGGGTGTGTGCTTTGTTATAGGTGCTGAACCCTAAGTCTGAGAAAGTCTGAGTCAATCTAGAGTGATACTTTTCAACAGTCTCAAGCTTATCCTGAATTATGTCATTTATGCAAGTAGCCTGATCTGCTAATTTATCCTGTGCCCAAGCTCGGAGCTGCTCACAGAAAATTTCACCAGAACGAAAATCTGTATCAGAAGTGAGTGGAGCGTCATTAAAGCTCCGTTCCATGATTGGCCAGTATGCATCACCAGGGTTGAAGGTAACATACATGGGCGGTGCACCATCCGCTCCATGGTTAATCTGGGTATAACCCTGGGGGATAGTGAGCCGTTGGGGGAGCCTGTTCCCCCCTGGGCGAGGTGAATCCTGTTCTACCACAACAATCTCCTCGGGTGCTACTGGGCCACGGTGCAGAATAGTCTCGGGGGTAGCTGTGGCGGGGGCAGGGAAACCGGTGATGGGAGAGGTAGTTGGGTGGAAGCACCCACTGCATAGGGCTGATCCGATGTCACAGACACTTCGGATCCAACCACCATGATTGGATAACTAGAGTTGGTAGGAGAGACATGAGGGACCAATGCCATGGATGGGGTTGCTGTGGGGGCCGGC